GGTGGGTCAGTGGTAAACGTTTAAGGATTTAAAATGCTAAAATCCAGGGTTCAATTGCTTTCGGTGAACAAAGTGCAGGTAGCGAATTCCTTAACTTTGCACAATAACAACAACAACAACTTTAGTTGTTATATACACTGTTTTAACCAAACAACATGCTTGACCTGAATATTATAAGCAACTGTATTTAAATGTTGATGAACACATCGACTAAAACAATAAACTTGAACCTTAACTTATGACTTGGCAAGGTAACAAAGAATAGAAACACTGCTTAACTTATAACTTGGTAAGCTACCATTGAATAGAAACAAACACTGCTTAACTTATAACTTGGTAAGCTTCCATTGAATAGAAACAAACACTGCTTAACTTATAACTTGGTAACCTATCACTGAATAGAAACACTGTTTAATTTATAACTTGGCAAGCTACCATTGAATAGAAACAAACGCTGATTAACTTATAACTTGATAAGCTTCCATTGAATAGAAACAAATACTGCTTAACCTATAACTTGGCAAGCTACCATTGAATAGAAACAAACACTGCTTAACTTATAACTTGGTAACCTATCACTGAATAGAAACACTGTTTAATTTATAACTTGGCAAGCTACCATTGAATAGAAACAAACGCTGATTAACTTATAACTTGACAAGCTACCATTGAATAGAAACAAACACTGCTTAACTTATATCTTAGCAAGCTACCATTGAATAGAAACAAACACTGCTTAACCTATAACTTCGCAAGCTACCATTGAATAGAAACAAACACTGCTTAACTTATATCTTAGCAAGCTACCATTGAATAGAAACAAACACTGCTTAACTTATAACTTGACAAGCTACCATTGAATAGAAACAAACACTGCTTAACTTATAACTTGGTAAGTTTCCGTTGAATAGAAACAAACACTGCTTAACTTATAACTTGGTAAGCTTCCATTGAATAGAAACAAACACTGCTTAACTTATAACTTGGTAAGCTACCATTGAATAGAAACAAACACTGCTTAACTTATAACTTGGCAAGCTACCACTGAATAGAAACACTGTTTAACTTATAACTTGGTAACCTATCACTGAACAGAAACACTGCTTAATTTATAACTTGGCAAGCTTCCGTTGAATAGAAACAAACGCTGATTAACTTATAACTTGGTAAGCTTCCATTCAATAGAAACAAACACTGCCTAACTTATAACTTGGCAAGCTACCACTGAATAGAAACAAAAACTGTTTAACTTATAACTTGACAAGCTACCATTGAATAGAAACAAACACACTGCTTAACTTATAACTTTGCAAGCTACCATTGAATAGAAACAAACACTGCTTAACTTATAACTTTGCAAGCTACCATTGAATAGAAACAAACACTGCTTAACTTATAACTTTGCAAGATACCATTGAATAGAAACAAACATTGCTTAACTTATAACTTTGCAAGCTACCATTGAGTAGAAACAAACATTGCTTAACTTATAACTTTGCAAGCTACCATTGAATAGAAACAAACATTGCTTAACTTATAACTTTGCAAGCTACCATTGAATAGAAACAAACAACTGTTTAACTTATAACTTTGCAAGCTACCACTGAATAGAAACAAAAACTGTTTAACTTATAACTTTGCAAGCTACCATTGAATAGAAACAAACACTGCTTAACTTATAACTTGGCAAGCTATAAAAACTTTCATAACTTTGGGCTGGTGTTCGACACTGTACCAGCTAAATCGATTGAAGTTTTAAACTTTAGCGAGAATCATTTACATCTCTAAAAACGTCTATAACCTGGTTGGATCTGGAACGAATTTCTCACGTATAAACGGAGCCTAATCTGACATTCAAAAATATTGGTAGATGGAGAAACAATGGGGGAGGGAGTTCGAATGAAGGTCTTTCTCTCTCTCTCTCAAGAAAGGTATGATTATAATTCTCCTCATCGTTTGTGCTTCGTGACCGCGTTCTTTTATGAGTTATGTGTTCTATCTACTTAAACAGTAAAACAATATCAAGTGTAATAAATAAGCCTGAAGCTGTTACTTATACACAATATTCCTAGTGTCCATGAATAAAGTTATAAGGCTATTTAGAATTATCGTTGGACTGGACGTGACATCATAAAGTATTGAAATTTAATGAAATAGGTTTTACTATCATACTTTATAAAAATGTAAATTCTATATAGTAGATAATCTCCCATACCCAGTGTATGACGTGAACGATGTTTATTTGCGACTATGATTTGAGTATTTGCTATTCAAACAAAGGCACACGAATCAACCCGAAGACCGTTTTTATCGAAGACAAAAGACCTGGCATGGTCTGGTGGTTAGGGTGCCCAATTCGCAATCTGAAGGTCGCAGGTTCGAATCCCCGTTACCGAACATGCTAACCATTTCTGGGGGCGTTACAACGTGACGGTCAATCCCACTATTTGTTGATAAAAGAGCAGCCTAAGAGTTGGTGGTGTTGACTATCTGCCGTCCCTCTAGTCTATCGCTGCTAAGTTATGGACCCGCTAGCGCAGATAGCCCTCGTGTAGATTTGTGCCAAATTCAAAATAAACCAAACCGAGGACAATAAAAAATCTCAGTTATACCTATGTAAAGTGTCCAGATGCGATTTTCAGGATTTGTAGAAAATTTTTCTCGGAGAAATATTTTAACCAATACTTTCTCTTATAACAAACTCAGAAACTTATTGCCCAGAAAATATTAATTTAGACCGTTTTTGTTCTTCATGAAACACGATAATTTTATCTATAAATTTTATGCTAGTGTTCTAGAACTATTTAAAACATGAAAGTAAATTCATATGATAGTCTTATGTATGTCAAAAGTTTGACAAATCAGTTAAATAGACTTATAAAGAGCCTCTTAATTTAAATTATTTTTTGTTGTTTTCTTGTGATGATAAAGCCTTCAACTTAGGAAACCCCGGTCATCAATCATTAAGATAAAAAAAACAACAACTCGGATTTACCTAAAGATTGAATTAATCATACCACAGAATATAGTCAAGCTGAACTAACAATAGACTTAAGCGTCATGGTGATAGGGTTAGTGACATCTCTTTTATAGAAAACTTAATCAACATAAGTTTTCTTATTATTTAAGGTGATTAAATGAATTTTGCGCTCAAGAAGGTGGTTTTATAAGTAAAAAACAAAAAGAACTGATAAGTGTACATGCTTATAGGTAGAGGGGTGGGGGTGCATTGGGTGTTGTAGTATCCTAAATTGTTTTTATGTATGCATAAAAATATTTAAAAGAAATAAAAGTAGCCTCACATACCTTAGAAATGTACGATTTTCGGAGAAATTAGCGAAACATTTTCAAGGGGGTACATGCTCCCCCGTATGTGTTCGCCACTAACTTTCTCCTTCCTCCACAAATAGTACCACATTTACATATTCCTTCCACGCCCCTGGTGTAGTCATATAGTTAAGATGAAGCAGGCAATACGTTTCTTTAACAGGTTAAAAAATCGGACTCCTTGTCTTTCTCCTAACCTTTTGGCATGCTTGGCTTTTATTGGACGCATCAAACATATCACGTTTTGCCAATCGCTTGTATCCTTTCGTAGCTCTCATAAGAATAGCCGTGCGGCATATTTAATTGGAGATTCTTGTTTTAACGTATGTTATGAAACGTTATTGGTTCTTATGAAGTTCAAACTTGTAGATTGTACATGAGAACTGAGCAATGAGGTTTGAGACCGCAACTTTTGTAACTATTTCATGACTTGGCTATCTTTACCAAATGATAGCTCACATTTTTTAATCCAATCAGTGTGAATATTAACTGTAATACTATATTTTATTGTTTAAAATTCCTTAAGCCTAAACAAACGGAACCTCTATAATAATATACCATTATAAACTATACTTAAGGACGGGGTACTTAAAAAAATCCTTATGAGCAGGGATTGTCCTTTTAATTCGGATCGTATGGCGCATCCTCTTGGCATGCAAAATATACCAGGCTTGATTCCGATAGAAGCAAACAGAATGTGACACATTGTACAACTGTATAGTTTTCCATCGCTCCACGTTGTATTTGGTTTTAAAATGCTGTCAGTGTAATTACCTGTAATCCCGGTTTGGCTCCTTTGTCGTGAAGTAAATCGTTGTTATTAAAGTGAGTAACTAATCTCGTTACAGGGTCTTTACCCTCAAGATTTCTTAGTGAACTATTTTTGAATGCAGAATGTAGTTCATTGTCCATGACTTCATTGACAAGTAACTTATAGTCTAATTAACGTAAGGTTTCAAGATTACTGTCTTTCTGTCGCTTAAAAAAGAAACTAAGATAATAGTATCACATAAAAACAGGGTAGAAAAATAGATCCGGTGCAACGAAAAAAGTTGTCGTTTCACGTTTTTGTAATGTTTCAGCGTTATTTGTTTTCAGGCCACGACTGAATTGTAATTACGTTTTCACATATGCAGAGTTTCTATTTTTTTTCCTTTTAGATTAATGAGTGAGTTTAGCTATATAAATAAGTTTTCACATATTCTATGTTTCTGTGTTTTTCCTTTCAAATTACTGAGATTGATTTCTTTGTAATTAAGCACAAAGCTAAACAATGGGCTATCTGTGCTCTGCCCACCACGTGGTATCAAAACCCGGTTTCTAGCGTTGTAAGTCCGCAGACATAACGCTGGGCCACTGGGGGTAGAGATTTAGTTATAGAAATATACATTTATATTGACATTGATCCAATAATCCAATTAAACGGAAACTTTGCGAATCATATCTTACTGATCAAAGCTAATTCAAGACTTGTTTTCATTGAATGCTCTTACCCAATTAAACGGGAAATTTTGCGAATCACATCTTACTGATCAAAGCTAATTGAAGACTTGTTTTCGTTGAGTGCTCTTTCTTTCAAATATCTCTTTAATTTTCATACCGTTCGTGTTTAGTTAAAGCTGTTACCTGTGTTTTTGCTTGTCGGTACTAATGAACTTTCTATTTAATTACAGTATGTAAAACTGTTCTCCTACTCCTGGACTCTAGGAGAAGTCTGTTGCAAATTCGTCTACTACATCCAGAACGTGTCGTCTATTTGCTCAGTGCTGACACTGACAGCTATGAGTGTGGAAAGGTTGGTTGATTGTATTCAGTATTGCTGTAAAATTTGGTTAACCCTAGAATTACCACTTGAACCTTATCGGTTTTTCAAATATTTTATTAAAACCATACGTACACGTAATAGCCTGTGGGGATCCAAGAATGTTAGTTACAAGGTCACTTATAACACATGAATCACCCAAAAATTAGAAAATAGCATCTATACCGCTATTAAACCCTACTAATTACTGCTGAAAAGTAGTAACTTGAGTGTTAAGTCGTTTGTATTCCGAAATTAAAGCATATGAAACAGAACAGTTACAGGTCTTTCTTCTCTAAACGTAGACTGTATACTAACTTCAAGTATCAAAACTAGCTGAATTACATTTATATTATTAGGTTAAAAGTGCCAACAAAGATATACTGTGTGAAGTTATCATCTATCAAACTAGCCGTGAGTTACACTTATATTATTAGGTAAAAAGTGCCAACAAAGAACTATTGTGACATGTTAACATCTATCAAAACTAGCCGTAAGTTATATTATCAGGTTAAAAGTGCCAACGAAGAACTATTGTGATATGTTATCATCTATCAAAACTAGCCGTAAGTTACACTTATATTATTAGGTTAAAATTGCCAACAAAGGTCTATTGTGACATGTTAACATCAATCAAAACTAGCCGTAAGTTATATTATTAGGTTAAAAGTGCCAACGAAGAACTATTGTGACATGTTATCATCTATCAAAACTAACCGTAAGTTACACTTATATTATTAGGTTAAAATTGCCAACAAAGATCTATTGTGTGTAAATATACCAAATGAGTCTACTAATCTGATCCTGTTAAGTTAGCTTATTTACTGGGATTAACTAATTTTCCACATCAACCATTATTTGATAGTTACGGTTTGGAACATGTATGATGACTGGTTTAACCTTGTAAGGTTTCTTGTATAAACAGTGATTTATCAGTGTCAGCTTTTCGTTATCATTAATGTCATTTTGGAAAATCCTTACCGATTTATTCAACCCAGTTTTTTTTTGTAGGCCTACCATGGCCTAGTGGTTAGGGCATTCGACACGCAATCTGAGGATCGCAGGTTCAAATCCCCGTTACCGAACGTGCTAGTCCTCTGAGCCGTGAGGGCGTTATAATGTGACGGTTAATCCCACTGTTCGTTGATAAAGAGTAGCCTGGTGGTTAGAGCACTCGACTCGCAATCTGAGGATCGCAGGTTCAAATCTCCGTCACCGAATATGCTCGTTCTCTCAGCCGTGGGGGTGTTATTATGTTACGGTCAATCCCACTATTCGTTGGTAAAGAGTAGCCCAAAAATTGGCGGTGGGTGGTGTTCACTAGCTAACTTATTTTCAGTCAATCACTTCAATATTATGGACAGTTAGAGCAGATAGCCATCGAGTAGTTTTGCGCGAAATTCAAAACAAACAAAACAAAATTTTTTGTTTATATGTAAAACGGAATTTGATAATGTTAGTTTCGCACATCAATATCGATTGAATAATGCCTTCTTTTCGTATCTAATGTGGTTTAGTAAAACTCAAAAATCTGTATTGATATAATAGTTGTAAGTTTTGTTAACATCTAAGAACGTCGTGTTTTCGCACGGTTCCCAAATTGTGGGCTGCAAGAGGAGTCGGACTGAATCACGGAGCAAGACATAGTGAAACGTAAATATGTTTTTACTTTAATTTTATATTAACTGAAATAATAACTACTATAAAGGCTCGGTTTGTTCTGAAGTTTCATTGGTGGTATTGTCCAGAGTCACTGATGAGGAGTGGAATTATTCGAATTCAGATTGGAATTTCTGGACATTAAGAAGTTTTTTTTTGTTGTTATGTTTTAACGCCATCATGGTGTTCGTGGAGCAGCTCGGTGATTTCGCACGTCATTTCTTTTCGAATCCTGTTTCCTTTACATTTAAGTTATCTGCAATTTACATGTATGTGTTTATGGCCTTTTCTAGCTTTTAAATTAACTTAGGCCTTGTAATAACTTGATGTCGTTATAATACAGATGAATGAGTCTCTTACAAACAACTTTACTTAGTGTAAAGGTGTAGAGGAACTAAAGCACTGAGGTGGTAGATATGTCTGTAACATAGGTTTTAATTAACCAGAAAATGAACTAGATAGCCATACCAAAGTGAAACCGCGTGATTAAAGCATTTCGATGTGTTCCACAAAGACCACTAAGGCATCTAATCAACAGCACCCATAACCGTCTCTAAGGCATCTAATCAACAGTACCCATAACCGTCTCTAAGGCATCTAATCAACAGTACCAACCGGCAACGTTTGTTTGGGTAATCTTTTCTGACCGAACAGTAAGATTTGACATCACTCTTATAACGCACATACCGTTCCAAACTGCGAATCGCAGTTTATTTCACATCAACGGGACGCGAACCACGAATCTTCGGATTCGCAATCCGAGCACGAGAACGAATAAGTCTCCCTTTTATACAAACACCAAGCCTAAATTATATTATTATAGGTTCGTTAATGAATTAAAGTGTCGATAATTGGTACAATTTTTTATTATATCAGTGTCCATATGATGTAAAAGAAAATTCTGGCTTGCTTTTCCTTGGGAAATATTTTAATGTAATGTTGTACACACACAGAGGCGACAATCAATTTTCTTCCTAGGTGATTTTAATTTTTCATTAAAATTTAATGTAACAAAAACTGTTATTTGTTTTTAAAAGATTCGATTTAGAAAGAGAGTTGTGTAATAAATCTATCAGTGCCATCTAGCGAATAAAAGTATCTCTGCATCATGAAAAACAATGTGTAATTTTAAATATAAGAATAAAATTCAAACTCTGCGATAATTTTGTAGGCCATATGATTGGAATTTATTTTAAATGCTTTCATAACTGGTTTAAACCTAGTTTTACACTTAAAAAAATCTTTTTTTCTTTTTTTAACTAACGTTTTCAGTACAGAATATATATATATAATTTTATTTTTCTGGAACAAAGCAAAATTATCAACCCACCCGACAGACATATTGTATTACACCAAGCACTTCGGTCGGTGAGCCCCCCAGTGGCACAGCGCTATGCCTTCGGGTTTTGATACCCGTGATTGCCAGAGTACAGATAGCCCATTATGTAACTTTGTGCTTAATTACAAACAAATCGGTCGGTGAATAGACTTTGAGACACAAAAATAACTAAAACATATTTTAAAAAACATAATCCACGATCCACATCCGTAACGGAAGTCCAAGATCCATATCCAGAACGGAAGTTCAAGATCCACAAATGGTTCGTTTTTCCTGAATAATGTGATCTGAAAATATGGGTACCATGAAATTATTTTTCTACATTGAAAAAATATTTCAAAACCGAAGCTTGCAGGACCGTGAAATTGTTTCCCACTAAGCCAAAATCTTGCAAAACGAAACTTTTGGGGCAATAAAATCATTATTTACTTTGTCGAAATCTCGGAAAAAAAAAACTTGGTTCATGGATAGGTCTGAGTCACAGGATGTCTCTGTAACTCACGAAGATAACTAGAAAAGGACGACAAATAGTTTTTAACGAAACTGTTATACGTTTTCTCGTATGATTATCTGAAATCGATTGTCAGATAACAAATCAGAAGTTAAGTTGCTTTTTATTATTGGAGTCCACGAGAAACTGATATCAGCAAGTAACTTAGCTTTAAATCGGACTTCTGTCAAGCCCGATTTAGTCATCTGTTTGAAATTGTTTTTAAACTCAAGATTTTTGAAAAAAGCTACTGTAGGAGAGTGTGATATTAAAAAAAAATAAGGAATTGAACGGAAATGATGTGTTGATGAAAATAAGGTTTGTTGCGCAAAGTTACACAGTGGGCAATCTGTTCTCTGTCCACCGCGGGTATCGAAACCAGATTTTTAGTGTTATAAACCTTCAGATTCTCCGCTGAACCACTGGGGTGCAAAATAAGAAGGAAATTGTAGTAAAGTAATATGCGTATAAAAGTAATCAGATAAATGAAGGGGAATAACATACCCATAAAAATAATAAGGAAATGCCATTAAAATAACGTTTACATAGAGAATACTAACAAGAGAATTAAAGAGAAATGACTTGTCCTTTATAGGTAAAGACTTACCTATTAAAGATGATAAAGAAGGGTATTGACTTACCTATAAAATATAATAAAGAAGGGTAATGATTTACCTATAAAAGGTGATGAAGAAAAGTAATGACTTACCTATAAAATATAATAAAGAAGGGTAATGACTTACCTATAAAATATAATAAAGAAGGGTAATTACTTACATATAAAATATGATAAACAACGGTAATGACTTACCTATAAATGATGACGAAGAAGGGTAATGACATACATATAAAAGATGATAAATAAGGGTAATGACTTACCTATAAAAGATGATATAAAGAAAGGGAATGACTTATTTATAAAATATGATAAAGAATGGTAATGACTTACCTATAAAATATAATAAAGAAGGGTAATGATTTACCTATAAAAGGTGATGAAGAAAAGTAATGACTTACCTATAAAATATAATAAAGAAGGGTAATGATTTACCTATAAAAGGTGATGAAGAACGGTAATGACTTACCTATAAAATATAATAAAGAAGGGTAATGATTTACCTATAAAAGGTGATGAAGAACGGTAATGACTTATCTATAAAAGATGATAATGAAATTGAATGGGAACGGAATACCATTAAAAATAATAAGGAAACAGAACATTCCCATAAACACGTTGTAGTAACTTGAAACGACTATAACAAAATGAACTAAAAGGTTCGTAGAAATCAATATTTAAGATCTGGAATGTTTTTTGTAAACCTATTTTTCTACCTTTCAAATTTTAAGCAAATTAGCTTAAAAATTATGTTTTTTATTTGGTTAAAGGCCCCAGTGGCTCAGCGGTAAGCCTGAAAACTTATAACAGTAAAAACCGGGTTTCGATACCCATGGTGGGCACAACACAGGTAGCCCAGTGTTCAGCTTTGCGCTTGACAGCAAACAAAT